AATTGAAGCTAGACCGCCAAAAAACCTGCAAGCATTAGTCATATCAACTTACAAATAATATGAATCAGTATAATTTCCAAACATCTTGAAGTTGCTTGTTCAAGTATCATCATTTAATTCTTCAAAAAAGCAGATGAAACGCGAACAATAAGGAAACAAGCTGAAAGAAAATGGTTGTACAAATCCGGGCTTAATTTTACTTATTGTCTAGTTCTTAACAAACGAAATTTATTTAATTATTTGAAAATATATAAAAATTGAATTTATAGTTCGTTACACTCTGTTCACATACTACAACTAAACGTTTTAATAATGCATTCACCAACCAAATGAACATATGAAATACGAAACTGAAGAGTCTAGAAGTATTTTCCATTTTCATCTTGTTCTGTGGTGAGTAAAGTTATCAATACTCAAGGCAGTCGTGTAATCATATCATTGACTCAAAATTGTAAGCTAGAGAGTAAGCGTAGAGTAAATTGTGATAAAGGAAATGAAACAACACAGCTCACGGATACCAACACGAACTGAATGAAAGTGCCCACTGAGCAGACACATAAAATCAGAACGTAACTTCATGGGTTTTAGGCTGACCATCTATCTGTCTTATTACTGTCGCCACTGAACAAATTGCTGTAAAGGACGAATACTGAGAAACTATGTACTGACTAGTACAGAGGTGGGATAACTTCTCACTATGGGTACACATGAATACTTCAAATCAAACACTGACAATGAAAATTATATCTGCTTACACAATCGTCATCGTCAGCGAAACAGGTGGTAGTATACTTCAAAGAACTCTTGAATCGACCAGCACCACTGGACTCACCCAACATCGAAGTAGTTGGCCCACCAACAACTGAAGAGATCATCAAGGCCATCAGACAAATCAAGAGTGGCAAAGCAGCGGGACCAGACAATATTCCAACAGAAACAGTGAAAGCAGACGTAGCAGTAACTCCAAAGATGCTCAACATTGTCTTCTGCAAAATTGGGGATGAAGAACAAGTACCAACAAACTGGAAGGAAAGTCACCCGATCAAAATCCTAAAGAAAGGCAATGAAACGGAATTAACGGACTCTTACACAAATAAAAACATGATATATTCAGTAACTCAAACTGAGCAAGAATGCAAACTGTTGTCTCATTACTTGATGTTTTCAATGAGACATGTCGAATCAACACCTTTAACTGGAATACACTTCGCTTAGTTGAACTACATTGGTGCATCTGAGAAATTCACACTCGCAATAAAACGATGGGAACTAATTGACTGTAATTAATTGAACATATAAATACATTTTTCAGTTGAATTATTAAAAGCAAACAACAGTTTTAACCACACTATTATAAAGGGTGTGTTTAACATGTTGGTACGTCACCTTAATTCTTGTACCTTATTGTAGTTATTTATTACAAACAGTTCCAAGATGTGACACGGAGAGTTAATTCACTTCAATTACTATGTCTCCGTAACGTAATAAACATAATGAAAATAATAGTGAAAGGACCCTTATTCACTGAAGCATTCCAGATATACAATAGAAAAGCTTAAATACCGGTGGCTTATATTTATTCAATTTGTTGTCCTTAAATTACGTGCACGCTTAATAATAACAATGCTTTATTACAATATGACAGATATGAATTGTTTCAGTAAAGAGCAATTGTTGGGTTAAATAAAACAAGATATCAACGACCTCTTACAGAACACCATTTTGTATTGTTCACTTATCAAGCCAACGTAAAACATTGTTTTTTTCAGTCACCTGGTTACCAAAGTGTTAGTTTTTTTCATTTACCTTAAGGACAACTTTGCATGTAGTACAGTGTATCACAGTTCAGTCTCAGGTTCACTTCATACTTTCAACTCACTATCGCCCAAAATACTAATGACTTGTCAATCATCTTCATGTTTTTGGTCAGTATAAGAGTATGTAGGAATAATGTTTGCTATTGGAGTGTTCAAGTTCTTTGTTGTTGAAAAATCCATTCATATGACAAATATGTGGATTGTCATCAGGTTTCGTTTGTTATTAGGGATTAGAATAAATAGGTGTAACTACCCAAAATCCAGTGACTGCATTCGGATTGGCTGAAACGACTTCATATTTTGCAACTATTTAAATAAATTTAGGTTTATTTGAAATTAATTTAGCTACTGACTGAAATTAGTTAAATCATCCGAAAATATTTTCAACAAAGTTTAACACAAAATTTCATCATCATCATCATCATCATCATCATCATCATCATCATCATCATCATCATCATCATCATCATCATCACCTTCGTTTGACTTACATTTTCACATTCATACATAATGATCGTCTATCAAAGAATTCCAACAGATTTGATCATTATACTGATTCATACTGTTTGTAAGTTGATGAATGATTGTTTAGGTTTAAACTAATATATTGCATTCAGTAGTTCATGGATCATTTGAACAATCCACAAAATTGTGTGAAAATAATTCATCGTAAGTCTGTTGAAAGAATATTAATGGTTTTTGATCATAGTCGTGATGGTAATAAATATTTATATTTTTCTCTTTAAGTGTTTTTGGTTGATTAGAGGTTTGTTAATAAACAGGAATCAGAAGATAAGTGACAAAGTGTATTCAGTCGACATCAGTTATGTATCACTACTTTCTTGTTAATATTGTTCATTTGTAGTCATCTGTTTACACTGATTGGTTACTGAATAATCGTTAATATCATGTATGTTTAGTTCTTAATGGTGACCTAAATCTATGGTTTACTTAGCTGCCAGCAAGCCCCGAATAACACACAACCAGCGTTTCCTACCGACTATCTTCAACCACCTAACAAATTTCTGTGTGATATAGATGCATAAGTAACACAAAATGTGGTATAATTATTTCTACTGAGCAGTGACAAGACATTTATTTCACTTGTGGTATACAGTATAGACATCGTTTATTATCTATTTATGTCTAGAATTCACAATCACTAATCCAATTGAACTAATATAACTCAAATGATAGAAGTGGTCAACTATAATCATAGTCAAATTAAACTATGCTACAAACAAGTAGTAGAGCAATATCTTCAATTTTCTGTATCAATACTAGGTCCCAAACAGGTTTGTTCTACCATTCGATATACGTGAACTAAATTGCAAATGATTACTGGGCAAACTAACCACAAACATATTCTCAGTCTATTTAAACCAGTAACTGAGCCTAAAGACAGGCAACTACTTGGTAAAAAAATCAAATGAGGAAAGGATCACCTCTAGAAACTAACACATGGAAAGCCCATAGAACAGATGAACGTAATCAGAACTACTAAACACGTCTCGACTTGATTAGTTTAAATGACGGTTCTAAACTAATTAAGAGTATTGTCCTGGAGACATTTCAGTTGAATGATATAACTTTCAATATAACGTCCAATGAAAGACAGTGCTGAAGATAAAGTTTCTCGAAATAGTGTATCCATAGTTTCACTGACTGTTGATTTTGATATTTTCAATATTTTTGGTAAGTGCGAAAACTGTTCAGTAATATACAAAAAGCAATTTGAAATATTTAGACTGTCTAAAACAAGGGTGAAACTTAGTTGATCTTTAGTCAGCCATTAATGCTAATGCGTTATCTTGATATAAGCATGTTTGCTGACGCTTCTGTTTGTTTGGAATATCACATCAATTGCGTATAAGAATGGTAGTTAAAAGTAAGCTGAGCACAGTTCTCAAAAATTTCGGGCTAATTATTGACATTATTTTCGGTTTCGTTTGTGGTTGAACTGAATGAACAAACCGTATATCTTAATTATCTGTTGTTGATTGTGTAGTAAATACAGTCAGTGATTTCGTATTGAAATCATATTCAAAGCTCTTTACTCTTAGTTTCGATTTATCGACTTTGCAAGATGGAGAAACTTGTAGAAGCACTAAACTGTGCAGAGATATTCATCAAATTACGATTTTGGAATGGTCAGGTCATATCAAAATAGTACAAATTCCGGTATATTTAGCTAATGTATCGATAAAGGTTTGTTGTAATAAGTATACATCTTGATATCTCATCTCCAGACTCAAATCACAGATTTTTAATAGCAAATTAATGGTTTTCTGCAAGTCAGTTCCACACACTAAAACTAAAGTTATTGAAATATGCATAACAAATTTCACTTATGTACATATTCTAAATTACTGGTGTGTATAAGATCGCAATACACAATCTTTTTGACTAGGAACTGTGTTAATGGTCACTGCATTGATGGAACCTGTGTATGTAATACATGTTGGATCGGGAAAACCTGTGAAGAACGAGGTAAGTCAGTCATTTATGGTTTAACTAGTCAATATTACTAATAACAAGATAATTTTCTGTTCGATTTTATAAATATTTGGTTAAATTCTATCATTTCCTTATCAAGATGATGCTAAAGACTCTTATCTCAAGCCCACAAGATTTACTGTGGTGTATTCTACTGATCCCTGTCCACATAAGTAGTATGTAAAACAATCACAATTTGAATGTCTGTCAAAAGAAGCTTGAAAAAATAGCACTGAATAAAACAGAATGGGGGAAGAATGAAGTGATTGAGAGATGGAAGAATCATGAATGATGTAAAGATAAATGATGTAGGATTTGCAAATGAAGTATTCAATGTAACTCTCTAATTTTGCATTGAACAGTAAATTGGTATTCCGCACCTGAGTTCTTCATTAACTACATTACTTGTATAAGAAATAAACATTACACTGAATGGATAATAATTCACATTTCTTGATAAGCTTGTAGTCAAATTTACTTCGCATCTTGTTATAGGAAATCTTGGAAAATCATTAGTTGGTTAACTTAAACAAAATTTCTTCATGAATTGATTCATCCATTTGTAAAAGCGTTCAATCATTTGGATTGTGCATTGGTTACAGTTGAAGAAATATCGTCCATTCCATGATTCATAATTCATTTCTGGTTTATATACATATTGTGAAACATTAACTTTGTACAGATTATATGCTTACCATTTTAGTACATAGAATTCCAAAATTCAATCAGACAGTATTCACCTTCGAAACCAAGTTTTCTAACTGGATCAATGGAAGTCTGATTGGTAGTCTTTCTCTGAGTGATGAAAACTCCTCCTTAGCATCATGTGGAAGTGTTCAATTTAACATTGTACCTGATTCAAACTACTTACCAGTAGCTATCGATGGAACAACTGGTATTTTGAAAGTAATTGAAAGCGATTATGAAACAATGAAGAATAATCACAGCATCACTTTTCAAGTGACAGTTAGGAATGCAAATACTTCACTAAATATATCTGATGATGCAATGGTCAACATTCTTATTGATGAAGAGTATTCTGACGAAGAAACAGGAAGTGAAATCACTGCAGTCAAGAGGGTATGATCTCTGTTTATTGTAGTATTTTTTTGAAAATGAAAGTGCAGTTTTTGTCATTGATTTCACAATTGGTAAACTGTCACTGAAAGAGATTCATGACTTGTTTCAGTTGACACTGTAGTAGCCTGTTTCTTTGAAACAAGCATGGCAATATGATCAATGGTTCTTCAAATCTTATCTCATAGTTCTGAGCCTTGATGTTTAAACAACAACAACGGAATATCAACACGATTAGTGGTATGTTACCACTGGAAACAACCTCCAAATCAGATAAACGTCAATCTCTCATAAAACGCTACAAATAATCATTTTTGCCAAAAGTGTTAACTTCCAAGTACGAAAACTATTTAAAATAATGGTAGTAGTAAGAATTATAAGTAGGCATAATTGTCTTTAAATTCGTGTGTATTTCACATTCATTTATCTTACAAAACATTGTGGTGTTTCAGATAGCAACCTTCATTCACTGATGACTTCGATTTAATGATTCCGATGTTAACGAAACAAGATAAGGTTCTCATCAGAACATTGTGATCCGATTCAGCAAATGTGAACAGTAAGATATAGAACCATGATGTGTACTAGCCAAAATAATTGATTTGAGGTTTCCAGATGAGTAATGTCATGTTTTCTTCTTTATAGGGCATCATAGTTCCACCGAATACTATCAATGCCACATTTTCCAGAGTATACATCCAGGATAATCCAAATTATTGTCTGTTCGATACATGGTTTATTGATTCGGTAATTGTCCTTCCACCTGGAAATCATAGTTTAATCATGAAATTTTCTGGCCCGTCTCTAAATAATGTTTATTACGGATATATACAATATTTGTTTGCGTACTACAACGGTTCAAATATAGCAAATAATTATCCTGTGAAGTTTAGTAATCTCACATACTTGAACAATAATTCCTCGGTAAGGATATGAATGTAGTATGATTAATTTTACTGTTTACAGCATTTTCTGTTAGAGATTGTAAATGTATGTGCAACAAGGAAGGTACAGGTAAATAAACGTATGACACCTCATGATTGCTGTCACTAGAGGTTGTTCGTTGTGATGTGTTAAAAAATTTCTGGAGGTTTCTAGGTTGTGGATATCCGTTGATACTGAACTTCAGAAAATAATGAAGCATATCTAGTAGGTTTTTAAAGCACATGGTTATGTACATAAACGTTTCTCATGGAAACATAATAAACAGACCGGTTTTATTCATGTTTACTAATAGTAAAATACACTTCGTCTAACAAACAACAAATGTGTATAAAAATTAAAAATTTCTAGATAGTTAGAATTACATTATGTAGACACAATCGGTTTTCTGAATTCACTTTCTGTATAGGTATAACCCTTAGTTAACAGTCTCTCATGAAGCTGTTATATCATCTAATCTTTTTCTCCTGGCCTTCAATATATCTTACATTGTAATTAAAAATATTCTACTAGTTAAAAGTTACTATGGAAAGTACACCGATATGTGCAACGACTTATTCCACATTTCACTGAAGATTGAGAGTAAATATCATAGTTCTGTTTTATACAAAAATATTCCAAATACCAGCTGATGCTGATTATGTACTCGAAGGAAAAAAAGTTTTTAAATAGTTAAAACCAACTTCTAAATACTCACAGTGAGATTGTGAAGATTCATAACAATGGATATTTAATTTGGATAAAATTTAATTCAGTTTCGCTTAAAAAACCTTCCTGATTTACGTCTCATCCAATAATCTCCATATCTTAATAACATATCGAAAACCTGAATACAAAGTTCCATTATGAGTATGAATTTGAAAAGTGAGTGTAAATAGAACAGAATAATTTACAAGATTAGAAGAAAGAAAACACTGTAATATAAGACTATAGTCATCACTGAGTGAAAGTTCTAGAGAGACGAAGGAGGGGAAAATACAAGAACTAAAGCAGAAAGGATCAGATAAGATGTAGAAATGTCTTTGTGAGGTTCATATTTTAAGGAGCAGTAATAGATAGAAATTCTGATTTTCTATATTTGCCTTATTTTATTCCATAAATTAGATTTTGGTTATAGGTGAGTTGATATACCAAATAATTGTAGTCAATCTACAAACTTGAGGAAATATATGATAAAAAATGTCACATCAAATGACTCAACATCGCTTAAAATCGGTTCTGTGAATGGGTCTAAATTGGTTTGAAATTGCAGTGGTTTATCTTCGTAAGTTGATATTAACTCATATCTTCGGTGCCAGATTATACATATAAAAATGGAGAATTTCGTGAGAATTCCAGCCCTTAATCCATTTTTGTTAATTGTTTTCCGTAGTCTTCGGAGTTCACAATGACAAGTCAAATAAGTGTTTCATCCGCTCCTGCCAATGATTCAAATGACTTCAGTATTAGGATGCGATTCCAAGTTGGTCTTTTCCCTCAAATGTCGATTCCACCAATAGGTACCAATTTAACAGTCAGAATGGAGGCGTTGTTGACTCCAAAGATTACTGTAGATATTCCCATGAGAGTTTCCTCGAACTGTCCGATTCAATATGATTCAGTTAACTTTACCAAGTGCCCACCGCAAGTGGAAGTAGGTGGGGTTTATGAGTATTCTGTGGACTACTTTATAAGCAGACCCATTGGCGATTACGTGGTGAGTGATAAGTATTATACTTGGACAATTTGCAGTCTTATGAAAAAAATTGTTAAATAATATGACTTCTGACTTAATTGTTACATACTATGACGTACCTCATAACGAAAAATTAATTTGTTCATCAACAATAGAAAATATATGGAGCTTTATGTCATAAGACATTTCAACAACTAGATGAATGCATATTATTGTCTTTTGAGGATCAAAAGGATGTTCATCGTTCGAAGACAAGGCATGTAACAAATTTATTTAACGATCACCTAGACTTGCTTTTATCCACTTAGCTATATCAAAACCTCTCTTACAAAATTGGCCATTGTTAACAGTCAGTATCCTACCTAAATCTATCACTTTTTCGTTATCAGAATAATCCAGGTTTTAACTGACAGTAAAAAAACTGTTTGTTTCCTCCTCTCAGATTTCGCTAATACGATAAATTTCCTTTGGTGATCAGTAACACTTATGATTCAATCTTCAGTACAGATTATACATATTTTCAGTTCGCTCTTTCGAATAATATTTAATATTGGTTAGTTTTCGTACAAAAATCTGTAATCTAAAGGTGATGATAAATTCAGTAGAACTAAACGAGACTTTTAAAACATGTCGGGTGCTGGTGAACACTTCAAAATTACAAAGTGAATAGAAACGTTGTCAGGTTTTGATGACAGATACTCGAGAGAATATCAGCCATAGTGCCGATAGTTACGTAATGCTTCAAAATAGTAGAAATGTGACTTTTGTATGCTCACCCAATACAAAAAGTTACGCATTTGTTTCCTCAAAGCCACATGCAGAAAAAATACTTACTGTTGTTTCCTAATAAATTGTTTGATAGTTCACATTCACGACTGATGAGTTTAGTGCTTCGATTGGACATATATCTTTGGCGCTACCTACAACATTCTCTACATACCCAGAAGGTTACAAAATAGATACGCAACAATTCGTTGGTTATAACTTCGTACTGACTACCATTGGCTACGTTAGTGTTTCAAATCTACAAAGTCCAGGTAAGTTCACCGTACAATGATTTCTAACGTTAAACACCCTGTTTCAGTTTAAACCATGCATATTGTTAACTGTATCATATATTAACAGTTATGTTCAGTGTAGCTGTGTTTTATAACACTAAGTTCCTGATGTTTCACAACCAACCACGATTCTCAAAACGTGGTTCTCATAAATATTGTGTTTTCTAAATATTACATCTTTTCCTGTACGCATGTTTATGAAATTAAGTATGCACTTGTCAAAACAATAACAAGTGCCTTTCCATTTTATGATACTTATTTACACAAGTACCGAATTTTCATATTGCATGTAATTAGGGCAGTGGATGATATGATTTTAGGCACTTATTCTGCTACCTGCATTTCGGTATTATGCATTATAGATATCTTCCATTAATAATCATTTTGAGCTCACCTGAACCTTTTGATAATTATTTCTCTGTTAATATTTCTTCGGTGAATCACTTTTTTTACCAGTCAGTATGATACGGATTTCACAGTTATCTCAACGAAATCGAGAACTGATAATTGAGCTTCATACGTACATTATATATCAGTTTACAAATGAAGAGCGAATACTACAATATACTAACTTAAATTACGCCCGTTACTCCTCGTGAAGCAGCATAAGCCGCTCACCAGCATTCCTCATCCAACCCTGTCCTGGGCAATCCTTTCCAGCTCCTTCCAGTTGTTGTTCATCCTTTTCATATATGCTTCTATTATCAGACGTAAAGTGTTCTTAGGCCTTCCTCTTTTCCGCTTCCCTTCAGGATTCCAAGTTAGGGCTTGTCTCGTGATGCAGTTTGGTGATTTTCGTAATGTATGTCCTATCCATTTCCATCGTCTTTTCCTAATTTCTTTTTCAGCTGGAAGCTGGTTTGTTCTCTCCCACAGAAGGCTGTTGCTGATGGTATCCAGCCAATGGATGTTGAGTATCTTGCGAAGGCAGCTATTTATAAAAACTTGTACCTTCTTGATGGTGTTTGTTGTAGTCCTCCAAGTTTCAGCTCCATACAGTAGAACTGCCTTGATGTTGGTATTGAAGATTCTGACTTTTATATTGGTTGAAAGTTGTTTTGAGTTCCATATGTTCTTCAATTGTAGGAATGCGACCCTTGCTTTGCCAATCCTTGCCTTACTACTAACCAAATAATATCTGCTGACAGTTTGTTATACAATTCATTATCAGATATATTTGCTCTTGTGTGATTGCATTTAAATTCTGAATAATCCTGCTACTTGTAACACTATTTTATTTTGTAATAGACTTGTATTAAAACTTCTAAACTTCTATTGAGAGAATTTCTAAAATGTGCTGTCACCATTCTGCTCAAAAACACACTATAGTACTTCTTCGCTGCTTATTATGAAATCAATATAGATTTATTCACACTGCGAGAATCCTGACTTCTGATTTCGCTAGTTTACAGCCATCTCCTATTGTCATAGTAAAATTTAATAGGAAAAAAATAGTATGATTTGACCGTGTTGTGATCAATAGTCGAATTTAACAACTATCAAATAGTTACTAACATGTTTGGATCATCGTAGATACTTTTATTTTGTTGTTATTTTTTAAACTTTGTACATTTCACTTATCATTAAACTGTTTACTGGAATCAAATATCTCTTGTCCAACTTATTTCCTGAACAAAAATTAATTAGTATATTCATTGTATGCTTTGTTGAGGCTTCCGTGAATTGCACTAGTATACGTCGTTCAAGGTTATGATTTCATAAACTACTCATTTTTAAAAGCTGCTTTCTAAGTAGTTTAGAACTGGCTGGAAATTCGGTTCAGATTTTTTTAAGGTCATTTATAATGAAATTGATTCACATTTGATGCGGTTAAACTCAGTCAGACTGGAAGATTATAATTTTAATTTACCCAAGGTTACTACCATCACTCGCCACTAGAGCTCTAACAACTATAAGGCATATAATTACGCTTAGTTGGCTATCGTTTGGCTTTCATTGGGTTCATTTTTTCAAAACGATCTCACTGTTGTGTTAAAAAACAAAAAAACTAAACCATTATTTTTCATTATATTTCATTGCCGAACTTTGGAGATTCACTCTGATAAGTCTCGTCGACAGGCATTCTTTCACAAAATGGTCTTGTTTTCATATTACTTTGAATATTTCTTTTCCGAATTATTGGGACGAGCAAGTCTTATTTTATATTCATATGTACATATTCTAATTTAATTTAAAATATATTTTAGGTGTTTATGACACTACTTTGCCAATGATGAATCGATCAGTTCGTCTAACAGTTTTTATTCAGATATATAGACCAAGTTTGGTATCCGTTAGGTTTGAAGCGAAAATCTCACCATTAGGTAAGAATTCTACAGTGAATTTTTGTGAGAGCCAACTCATAGCGTTTGCAGGTCCTAATTTGGTAAGTTGTCAGTACAAAACATATTAACTTCCTTTATAACGAATAGGCTGCGAAAAGTGACTTAACATCAAAGGATACCTCAGTTGTGAATCAAGCTGAAAAGTTGCAATTCTTTAATCTTCAACTGAGTATCCTGCCTTCTACGACAGCACTTTACAGTATTTATATAACTTATACTGGTAAACTAAATACGGAACCATGTTCCGTGGATTACTTGTTAACAGAAAATAATTCAACTAAGAAAGTAAGTTTAAAATATCATAATGATTGTTTAAATTTTCTGTGGTTTTTAAAAGATTTTCATAATGGAGTACAAACTTTACGTGTTTACTTTAACAAACCTCTTTCAGAAATTTCAAAGCACGAATAACAGTAGAATTTCTGATGCTTGATCACTGACTTCGGTATGATTGTATTCGAATTATTTATATTACTTATCACTTTATATTGAGGTTCCTTAAGTCAATAAACAAGTAAATGGTAGGGAGAATCAAAACTCATTTTTAATTGAAACACCTTTTTCAGTTTTTTTATTAACTTTGGATTTCTATGAAGCAATGATCGATCCGAAAAAAGTATAAATGTCAAACAGTTGAGACCCACAAGATCCTTTAGTTATAAATTATCTGATTAACCAAATAAAATCAATCTATTCCTCATTATTTCATCAATCCACGTGAAGGTATAAAGACTGGTATGTTGGTTATTACAATGGATAACAAATTGTTTGCACATGAATAGAAAAGCTTATTCATCTAATACGTTAACAACATATTTCCCTCGTTATATTAATTCTATGAAAAAGTTAAGTACCCAAATTTTATATAAGAGATGTCTTTCTTAGGGCCGTGGTCGACGTAGATGTACACTAGTGGGAAGACAGTTATTTTGAAAGAAGTAAAAATATTATCCATACAGTTTTTGCCAACAGTTTAACTGGGAATGTTTATAAAAAGGCGGAGACAGGATTCTAGAAATAGATTACATCATACATAATCCAGTTCAAAATACAGAAGAACGTGCACTATCTGAGTGAAGTTTAGGGAAAAGACGAGAAAGTAAAATCATAATTTATATTTGAAGGAATTTAATGGCTTTAGAAACTGATCACTAAAATGATTATTTTCTTACGAAGTCAGATAAGTAAGATGAACGTGCTAAGGGTATGTCAGATGCCATCAACTTGACTATGGTGGTCAAATCTATTGATCACTTAAAGGTGGTTAACGGGTTAATTTAAAGAAACAGAGTCATTCTAGAAAAATGATTATATTTGGAAGGTCGATACATTGTGGAAAATATCTAGAAAAGTAAGTTAATACATATTTGATAAACAATTAAGACAGTTGCTAATAAACTGATATATAAAGTTTATCATCCCGTCACAGAAAGAGCAAATAAACAGTTAAAGTTAGTGACGTCTAACCTGAGGATAAATAATTACCTTAAAATTATAAAACAACGATATATTGATGATATCCCGATGAGTAGAAAATCACATTTCTCGCGTTTTTGGACTTTGTGTAAATCACTCCTTCAGAGTCGATAAATAAAAAGATAACCGAATCAAATTAACACAGATTAAAATCGTATAAAATAATAAACTTAATTTTTTGACGTGTTCTTTTATGCGATCTAAAACTGTGTAAATTTGATTCGGTTATTCTTTTTTATTTGTCTACTCTGAAGAATGGTTTACACAGTCACGAAACGTGAGGAATTCGATTTTCTACTGACTGGGTTATGATCAATATACTATCACTTTATTACTAACATTCCAGATGATGCACAGGTTATTTTCAACTATCAAGTCAAACCTTGATAATAAAACCAGTTTAGAAGACTTCACAAGAAACATAACTAGGTAGGAAGGGATTGAAAGAAGAAATACCAACCCCAAACTGATGGATTATCACAGTGTTTATTCATCATCATCAAGGGACATTATAAGAAGCCAGATATTCTGCTAGAAGTGTAAACGCGATACTGAAGACACCAGTCAATACGAAATCTATGGTCAGAACAAGGACAACTTGTCTTTAAACTTGATCTGTTTTAAATGTAAAACCAATTCGATTAGTGCAATGAGAACAGACCAGATCAGATTGTTGTGATTGGCGTTTAAGCAACGATTTGATTGTTGTTAGATCTATCGAAGCGTCCAAGTCACCTGATTGAGATACGCGCAAAACCGAAGTTTCCAATACAACAATTTGTCTACAATAGCGGTTCTTTATTGAATAATACACAACATTTAGTTACAAACCTCAACTTGTGAGGTGTCTAGGGCGTTCGAGCGCGTCCTTCAAGTATGACACAAAAAGGCTTCCTGCAACATTAACATGAAGAATAATTACAACATACTTTAGTATAAAGGACAGCTAATAGCTGTGTCTAAATTTGATAAGATCTTATGAACAATCGAAACCCGAACCAAGAGCAAAACAATATGGAAACTGTTGCGTTTAAACAAATGCACAAAGCTGTGGATAACCGCTACAGTGATTAAGGTATAGTGATTATAATGATAAATACAATGATAAATACAATAAGCATCATAAGTATATGTGAACATTTCAGAATATCACACTACAACTTGCGTTACAACATAAGTGTAAAAATTGTTGGGGACAAACTGCTTACTCAATGTATATAAGTAGTATAAAACAATTTGCAAAAGAGTGGAAAGGGGTCGAGTAGGAACAATGTAAGACAAACTTAACAATTCGTTAGTTAGGGACATAATTATCACGCAACATTCTTTAACAATGTCGATTGTAAGGCAGGTACTCAACATCGGCATCGGATGGCATCTTTGGACTATCATAACTTAAATTATGTTAGACATGCAAACCGTCGGATGACAACTCAGTGACCTAAAGGCTAAGTGTTCGCTATAATAACTCAATGTCCTGGGTTGGTTCACACTCAAGCCATGGATATCCCATGCTGAGAAGTGCCATTCCAGTGCAAAGCATCTTCCTAATGCTTTCTACTACTGAGTGGCTGTTCAAGTAAAACCGATCCATTACGTGAACGGTAAAATCCAGCCATTTTCCGAAACACTTTATCACGGCTGGTTTACAGATAATCAATTATTAACTTGACAACACTGTCCTTTAACTTATCCAAACATGGCTAAGATCAAAACAAAAAATCATTATACAGGAGACAGTTTTGTATTCAGCAATTATAAACCATAACCAATGCTACAAAGTCACAATTGACTGCATTAATACATATCCACAATTATAGTCTGTTAACAAATGACAATAGTAAATAATGGTTTTACTTCTGATTGGCACTCTATCATCATCCTTTTCTCCAATCGCGACATATATATGAATTGATCAACAGGAATCAACCCAGATGAATCAATCAAATATGATGAGTAAACCCCGAAAATTCGAACTTCAGTACAAACAAACAAATATCAGTAGTTCTGATGTTCCGAAATCATAGATATCACTAATAGTAGTAACCTTTCGGATTGAAATAACTGCCCAGCAGACCTACATTTGTTTATTTATTCTCTTCAGCTTACACATGATCAAACAAGTTCAATTTTCATCTTTGATCTAAAATGACTAATGCTGGTTTTGTACCGTCAGCTATCATGTTTTGTAACATATTCTTGGATGAGATTTTCATATGATAAATATCAATATATGCAGAGGTCATCAAAAGGATTGTTTGATAATCCTGCATTCCGTGATATCAGCGTTTTGTGCATAATGTCATAAGACGTATTTAGTATCAAGTCGTTCACTTCGAAACATAACTTATGACTATTTCAATCCCTTTCACCTTCACCAAAAGGATAACTACTTAATTGGAAACCCAGTTTCCTCAGCTTTGCCATTTCTTCTTGAATGAAGAAGTCTGGATCGAATATGTCTGTTATTAGATTTTCATACTGAATAAAAACAAAATCCACTCGATCTTCAATTCGTTGTTTGGCATTTTCGTTGTATCGAGTTCTTACAATATACAGCTCGATAATATGAACCCGAAATCAATTAGTGTGTTGCGTGGTAACAATAATATAACAATATGCTAAACAGTGGTATCTCAATGCATATTTTGAAGTTATTATTCAGATGATGAGTTACATTATCGAGCGTTTAGTGTGCATATAACTTTTAAGACGTTAAACCACTTAGGATGCAGGTCTAATATTTATCACGAATTCAGTGATGTTAATGGGCACTGTTTTGTGTTCAACAAATCCTCGCTAATCGCTAATATTTACTTACTGTGGTCTCAGGTAAATATCAGTAATAGAAATTAAATTATTTCACTAAATTTACCATTCATTTTATCATAGTTTGGTTGGTATACCAACTGCTCATCTGCTGATGGTTTTCATTGTCATTGAAAATATCTAACAAGACCTTGCTCAACTGATCAATATCTGAATTAATTTGAGAATATAATCCATATTTTCTTCTCATGAAAGTGCATGAGTGAACGTTTAACACTTTTCTAAATACCGAGAGTTTGGATTTCTGATAAATACTTTTGTTTTATATTACATATTGTGTCATTGACTAATGTAATATGTTCTAGTCTTTCATAAACAGCATACATTCATTCAGTGGAAAAACTGTTAGCCTACGGACTGGGGTGATTGCATATATATATATATATATATATATATATATATATATATATATATATATATATCCTATGGAGTGTATGGGGCTGATATTTCTCCCCATGAAATAAAGCAAGCAACACAGAAGAGACCGGACTGACCACGGACTCTGCAAAATTTAGATAGAGACCTGGCACATTACCCACTCTACCAATAATCAGACTAATCATCTACTCTGTCAAAACTTTGATTACTATTGGAGAGAGATGACTGAGATGACTGGGCTTGCAACGCATGGTAGCAACCACGCCCATCTATGTCTAGGTGTTTATCACTCGAATGTTTCTGACATCTTAATTTAATGAGTATATGTGTATACAACATATTTGGGAATAGATCCACGTTTCTCCACTGATGATGTCTGTCTGCACTACGTAATAATAATGATTATTATAATTATTATTGCAATGGAAGAACACATGTAATCAAATTCCCATTTATTAGTACATTCAGTGGAATAACAACATACTTCCTCATAAATTTTGAATTAGACATTTGGATTTTATTTATATTTTCCCTGATAACAATTCTATTTGGCTTGCCATTATTCGACTACAACAGTCAGATAAAGTTGAATGTCGACTCGCATATTATAATTAACCTAATTCAGAATAACAGTTATAATTATCTTGACAATTTCGTTTCTTGGTTAATAGTTTCCGCCTATCAGGCATCACTTCTCAATGTTCATTGTAGACAAATATTGCTCATTATTTCTGCTGATCCTTAACTAATTAATAGTTTTATGAATTAATTACATAAAAATGAATGTCATTAAACAATTTAGTCTGTTTCTAAGATCTTGCTAAAATCAAAATCATTTGAATGAACAAGCTTATCTCGTCATTGTAATATCACTATTATCTAGAAACATGTTTGGAGAATATATAATTATTTACTGATTAACACATCCACTAATTACCTACAAACATCATAGATCCTTCATTACAATGAGATAACGGCTAGTGGATAATTTTCATTCTGTGCATTGTTATTAGAAGTTCAATCAGATGATGAGCTTCATGTATAATTTACTCGAACACCTTATTACTGAGATTAGAATTAAAGTTTCAATGAATTCGGAGTGAAACATTCATCTCTGTGTCTGCTTGATAAATAGGAATACTTCTTCAATATCAATAAAATTCATTGTTTCATGTAATGATCCAATATTTTAAGTAATAAAGGAGGTTGTGTAATGATCAATGGGTTAAAGAAGAACAGGTAGATACATGTCAGAAATTCGTAGTTTCATATTTTACTACGTTTTCTATATTTATGGATGAGTTTCCACTGATAATACGTGTCTAATTATATTATGGATTTTCAATAGATTTATTCCATTCTTTACTTAGTCATGTATCCATCTTCACAGGATCAGTTACATTGAGTTATGTACATATAATCGATTTGACCCGAAGACTTATATGTCACATGACTGAACAGCGCATAATATCTTGTCATTACAATACATGTCGTATATGTGTAGAGTGTTTTGTGTGTATTACTTCTTGCTAGTTTGATTGCTGGAAGTTGAGCAATAATATTTCTCTCGAAGTCAGGCATAAAGTATAGATTTTCTTTACTCAGTGATGTTAAACGGTATCCTATTGATTCCGCTGATATTCATAAACAAAGAACTATCATATCACTATCGAGTAATCCGACATTAATAAATGTTTTGATATCGTATGCCAATTTGATTGTTTAACTAACATTACAGATCAGGCTAATAACAGAATACACTGTATTTCAAGGGCGAAGAACAACAGGCACAACGACAATCGGTATATTTAGAAACAATAACCCATGGAATGTTTTTTATAATTTCCAAATCGGAGTGAAATTATTGTATGATACCACCTACGTCTTGGGTGATACAATACAAACGTACGTTCGGATGTTTTCTGGATCATCAACTGTATGTTCTTTTGTTGTAACGCTTCCAGTAACGTCTATGGAGAAACCCATACCCACTACTCCTGTAAGCTTGATTTATGTTTTCATTTATTAATTCATCTAAACAATATGTTTGAGGGTTAGTATTGCTTTGACTTTCGTACATTCTCCCAATCCTTCTATAAATACGTGGTGGTGTCTTTGTAGCACAGCATTTCTCTGCTTCCACTCTAATGGGTTATCATTTTGATTCGACTCCAGACGTTGTTGATCAAATTTTTCACTAGTTGTCGTGCCTATCAGATCTAATCCAAACAAGTCAAGTGCTGGATTCTTTTTAAGGTATACTGTTACATTCGTTGTCATACTACTTTTAGAAAAAGTGCACAGTACTTCTCCAAAAATATTCAACTTCCCACCAGATGCACTGTGCGTTAGTTGTGTTGTAGGATGAACTGTGGGACTCCCAATATGTCTCCAAGTTCCTGGGCTGATGAGAGTGTCATCAGACGCTGTATCGAGTCGAAGGCGAGTACGTTGTTTAATAATATCCAAAGTTACATACTTTCTTCGGCGGTAACTTCGTGCTTTGGTCTGAGATATCAATATTTTGTGAGTTATCGCACCAGATCTGTATTTATTTGAAATAGGTTTTCGAAGAAAGACGGTGGGTTTTTTTGTACAGCTGGATTTGTTATGACACTTACGATGACATTCAGTATAACGATAGTTTTTATATGGGAAAATCTTCTTGTAGTGCCACTCACCGTATAACCAGAACTGCGGTGGAGGTTGTTTGTTTCAGCTGTCATGTGTGCGTACAAAAAAATATTTCCGACGATTTATTACCTGTACGTATGGTGGCCAACCCCTGTTTTCAACCATAGATATGTCATGTTTTAGGTTCATCAACGTCTGACATTCACTAGTCACCTCTTATAGCGCCATATTTAGACACTGTTCAATTTTACTCAGGATTCTGTTTCTGACGTCGACATCTTCAAGCGACTGAAAGCTGTATACAAAAACAAAATACTTAAACTGGTCTTCTATCATTGCTGATAATTTGAAACGCTTACTATGCCAGCATGTTGCACCCGGCCATCGTCTCCAGCTTTATTCAACTTCAGAAATTGGTAATGAATATTGAACAAAGATGACTGTTCACCGAAAATTTGCGACAAAGTTACAACCGTTGCATCAAATGAAAAGTCTCTGGGGTTCTAAGGGAAATGAAGTTGGTGTAGCGTTCATGTCCAGCTGTACCAAGTTTGCGTAGCAGTACTCTGTTCTTTGCGGCATCGTCAAATTTTTCTAGGTCGACCCTGAACACATCTTTGTATTTCTTGAATCACGATTCAAATGTAACACCAGACAAACCATCAAAATGAAATTCATGGATAGAATTAATAATGTGGTCAATATTGGATTTTAGTGGATCATCTGTGAGCCCCTTTTGATATAGCAATTGAAATACAAAAATATCAATTTTTTAGCATGGAGCAGTTTAAATTGCAGAGCTTTATAAATGCAGCATGAAATATAATACTACACTACGTTAGCTTCTGGTAATTTTCAACCAAATCTGGATGTCCTACTTACCTAAACACTTTTAGTTTAAATCAGACCTAAAAATAAACCAGTCATTCTGTTTGTCTAACATTTATTATTCCTTGCAAATCATTTCAGTCGTATGCTTATAACGCAAATATAAACTACATGTAAATGTAAACTTAAATTGTAATCAATCTCAATTTTGCATTTAATCAATCTCACAATTTTGCATTCAATCAATTGTTTTTTGTTATCATTTGCAAACACTATTTGAAATTAGGTCTCTAAAACTCCTGTAGTTACTATTGAAAAAGTCGAACCACGAAATTCACAACCAACAGTAAACTTTAGTACAATTGTAGAAGTTCGAGTGAAATTCGCTAAAGACTTTGTCTACATGCCGATAACTTTTCAACTACAAGTAAATTCAAATGAAGCAATTATAATCAGGCAGTGTATTCAAACAATTGGATATCTATTAAAAACTGTAGCACCTGTGAGCTATTATTCTTCGGTAAAACCGTAAGCTTGATTATTAACCGTATTGTCATATATGTGTAGATATACATACGTAATTCATTATATATACATATATATACTCAGGTATAATGTTACAAAAAATCAAGTATACGGATATGGATCAATTCCGCGACATCAAGCGTGAGCTGAACTAACTACGAATACTTGTAATTTACTATTTTCAAACAAGAATCCCTTGTTGAAATACACAATATCTATCAAACTTTCAACTTTTGGAGATTATTCTCAAAGACTGTCTTGCATAATCCGTCAATAAATCTGAATGTATTATCCAGAACTCTATGTCAGTTTGTTTTATCAGTTTTCCAAATTACATTTCACATATCAGTAGATTTCTGTGCAAAGAAATGCATTATATTTTAATGAGTTATCATTTCAGAAATATCCACTGAATGTTAGATTATATTGAAGTTGAAACTTGATTTCTACATTTTTTTCCGATAGACAAGATTTAGATATTTGAGAAAATACTTTAAGTCTCAGTATATAGAAATTGTACATTATTATCCTTTTGTTAATCCATACTTCCGTTAAGAATTCAACACGTGTAGGGGTTTTAGATTGCCACATACATTCAATTACCAGTCACTGTAGTGGGGACCTAAATGTAGGTTTTCTACAACGAGTTGGTGTTCGATTTTCATTTATATATATAAATGTCGTAGTATCCATGATGCTGACCGTTATCCTTTATATACGTTGAAAAGACTGAACAAAACTGAATCACTGTTGATCAAACCCATTTGATGTATCAACATTATTATTTTCATTATTACAAAATGTGCCTTATCACAATCCTTAACAATATGCGTAGCCGATTGTATACCAAATGTTTCTCAAAAGTTAATTGAGTAAAGACAAAGTGAACTTGGCACATACTATATGCTTTTTATTAAAACATCCTATTATTCACTTGGTATTGTTTCCTTGAAACTTCCCATTGATGTGTGGGATTGTAGTTGATCAGTCTCTTAATGACATATGTGCACACTGTGCGTATTGTCTTGCTATTGCCATAATTCATAAGCATAATAAGCAAAGATGGATAGTGGCTAGCAGTGGTATCCAGGACGCGCGTTTCGTTCTATTGAGGACTCAGTAGCTAAGTGGATAACACGATGGCGTTTGAAGCGAACGGTATTGGGTTCGATTTCTAGAGTGAACATCACATCTAAGATGCAAGTACATCCGGCTGACGAGTCCCAAATTGGACGAAACGCACGTCTTGGATTCCACTGCTAGCCACTATTCATCTTTGCTTATAATCCTTTTATTACTATCATTTCGATGAACCATGAATAAAATGAAAATTGAACCTAACCAGCTTCAATAACTACTTCTATATTTGTTGTTCACACTTTTGGCAAAACACTCATGAATGTGGCGAAATTACGCACTTTCTGCTCGCTAACTTACTGTGATTATCAAAATATTTCAGTGAAACAACAACTCATCCCTAATAACCATTATAAAAATAATTTCATACTGCACTACAATATATATGTAATTCTAACAAATATCAACAAATCTTTCTTCCTTTTCTTTCACTTTCCTTTTCTCGATTACCAAAGTAATTTGGCTAGATTGCAAATAAATTCGGTGTACTTCAATGAATCATGTACAGATGCTCAGTGTGATATTGCAATGCGTTATTCGATTATTCCAATTACCACGAAGCCTTTAGTAATCACATCAACATTTACCTCTGGTGTATCCAGTTTTACGAAAACATTAACTATTTCTCCACGAGATAACTACTCTACTGTGTTGGTATGACTTCAAACAATGTTTTTTACATTGAATTTTACTTTAAACTTTACTTCAGTTTGTTAACCCTACCATAAACTACTGGCTGTGATTTAGGTTTACACAAATATTGATAACTGGTTAGAACAAGTATGATTTTTGCAACGTGACATACATACACAGGTTGAAGTGATGTACAACAGGTTGTTCACTTCGTTGTGTTGTAAAATTTGATAAATTTGAAGACGACTTTCCTGTATGATGATTCAGTAACCAGCAAAAGCAGAGTAATATTGAATACTGGATACCTAGCATTTATGATACACACTATGTTACTAAATTATTAGTGAAAATTCATTAATTTATAATATTCTTCCATAAATCACCTCGTATATTAATCCTATGAGGATTTACTTTCGATTTGAACACCAAACCTGACTCCCTGACTGACTTACATGACAGGTTAATGGATCCATCAGGAAATTCTAAAATTCATCTTGAATGAAATCACTGAAGAACATTGTAATTTTTTTGTCGAGTTTATTAATTCGTGATTATAGGGGTAAGTTGTAAGTGTTTAGTTCATAACACATTTTATTTAAACTTTTACAGAGTATAAGAGGAATTTTCATTTATTAATTTTTTAAGTCACCAAGTCAGGCTCCAGGGGTTGACCTAATTTCTATTGATTCAAAAACAGTCAAAAATCAAGTTATACCGAACTATTTAACATCACTGAAGTTAACGCTAACTCTGAAACCCAATGTATGGCAGTCGATATATTTTCAACTTTATGCTCCAGGTGCCTACCAAGAATACATATTAGTCAAGCCAATAATGCTAAGCCAATCAACATCATTGCCATATGTCAGCTTAGTTTCGAACTCGTCGGAAAATATGGTTTATATCAGTATAGATAAAGCTTATTACGAAGGTTTGTTAACATTTACTGCACTGTTTTACTTATAGTGTTCTTATTTTTGATTGATAATAAAGCGATCAACTACACTTATCAAGACACTCAAATATTTAATTTGCAGAACGTGCTTCCCTCCGTTAAATAATCCAGTGAAAGTAAATCGATTTCAACTCAGTTCAAGAATTCCAAGAAATTAGTGACGGTTCGCCAGTAAATCAAGATAATTTCCTGTCTACTCTTTTCGTTGAAACACTTATATAGATATTTCTGTGAAAAAAACATCTCCATTGTTGATCATTTGACCATATTTTTAATTGTAATTAGTGTCTGCGATCAAGTCTACCATTCCTTAAATTTATTGTTCCAAAGAGAACAAAATTCATCTAAGTTCCAAAGACCATCAATATCTATGGAACACAGAAAATAATTTTGTCAGAGTCTCTTAATCAAACTGTGAATTTTTGAACACGGTAGTATTAAGCCTGCAATTTACAATGCTCTGCTAGTTTGAAATTTATCCAGAAAGAATTAATTGATATTCCCACTGACATTTCTGTATCGAGATTAGTTTGAATTATTCCAACTGAAAAGTAATTATATTAGCCTACTTTAAGTAATCTTAAAAGATTTATTATCTGGTTTAATATAGCAATAGTTTATTTGAAATAATGATGATGAGTCATAAGACTGATATAATAGATTCAGTTCTAGTCAGTAATTAAAGTGAACGTTCTTGAGAAACTTCATACCACTTCTGTTTTATTTGTAACAATAACTGTATTGACTAATCATTGTCGGCAACCTAATCCCGTAGAAAACAACCTTGTGAAAACAAACGCTAATCAGAATAGACAAATTAAAGCAATATAACTCTGCTCTCTGAGTTGAAGTATCTTCATTCAGAAGAACTATGAAGCCTAGTGGTGAAGGCCGAGATTCTTCGAAAGTCATGAGACCGATACTCATTCTAACAACCACAGCAACAATTTTTATAGGTAAACGGAACGTCCTGACAATGTGGCAGACCGAGAAGACTATTCAAATAGCTGTAGAAATGAAAAAATACAACTTGACGGTGCTCGAAATCAGTGAAGTCCTCTGGATCCAATCCTCACAGAAGAAGATATATACGAGTGAGATGCTGCTATACTCTGATCATGAAGAGGGAAATTCTCTTCACACTCAGGGAGTTGCATTGATGCTGGCCAGTGAGTCATGAAATGAAACTATAGAATGTGAAATCCAACTTCAGGTACTAATTGTTTCTAAATAGATAATTTCGCATGCATATGTGCTGGTGCATAGTTGAAAGTAGATTAGTTGACGAGGAATTCCTTCGTTTATCGAACGTACTTGAAAACTAATGGATGTGTTACAACTTAGTACAGTATTCTAATATACCTAAACATTACTAATTGATCATATAAAATATCAATATTTCATTTTACAATCAAACAATCTGAACAACTTCAAACAAATATTTCTTCAGCTGATTGATAAATCTTCAAGAACGTTATGTTTGTAGTAGGTCGAGTGTATTAATATCCATTTCGTATGAAATTGTCGTTTGTCTATCCCAATAAGAACTATGTTTTCTTGTGTAGATGCACAAAGATGTAATAAATTGATAGTTGTCAAAATTCAAGCATTCAAATTCGCCTCACTAGGAAATTAGACTGTCAATTTGTATTTTGCGTTTGTAGGAATTGCAACCGACCAAACGACTTCGGCAGCAAATCAGTTGACTTACTATATCCCAATGTTCACTGCAAATTCTGTCAGACCACTGGTCAATTTCACTTACAATCTGACAGTCAATTCAATCTCTATATTTGGTAATTTCATATTTACTACCACCGCTCCAGCAGTAAGTCAGAGTACACATTTCCATTCAACTTACTTCAAATTACATTTAGATAACTTTGTTACTTGACTTATTCACATTATTTAATGGAATCCGTATACAATACTAATGGTTAAAGTGTTATTTTCAAGCAAGACCCTGATGTTTAGATTACGTAGACTCGATAAAACTTTTATCCATATTGTTGATGCATATTGTAGTTTTATTGAGGTCTTTTAAGAAATGATAGAGTTGAGAATATCACTTATCTGTGGTTGTAATTAGATGCTGATAGTTCGTCAAACACAATCGGTACCGAATTCTGGCATAAAATCGTTATTCACAATAGAGGATCTTCTCAAATGGTTATTAAGTTTTTCTGCTGTTCGTTCGGTTCAATTTATAACTGGCAGAATATAATATGAATTGTATTTCGCTTTTCACCTCAGCTAAATGCAAGTTATTGAGTCTAATTAGTTCAAGGTAATAACATATATGAGAATTAAACATAAACCATCCGTCAGAGGACAATCATTATTTTCCATGACAACATTGTGACAAGCTTAACAGGTTTATCAGTAATTTGAGCAGAATACGCCAATATTACGCTAAATGATTTTCTTACATTCTCAGTTGTCGCTTCCATATTAAATTCAGCCCTACTGTAACATTTCAGTAGAATATTTCTATGATTTTATCTCGCAATGAAACATGAAATTATCATCATCATCATCATCATCACATCACATCATGCGTACAATGCCGTAATTTTGTTCTCCTTAGTTTCACAAGGAAGACTTGAGTAATAACTCATCTCGAATGTTAACTTATAAATACACAGGATCTAGACGGTTCGTCTCATTGGTGAACTAAAAATGGATGTATTAAGTCACAGCCTTAACAACTCTGTGAATCGTGCCTAGAATACATTTATAGATCATAAATTGTGTATAATTATGTCATATATTTTTAATAGTAATGTTAATAAGGAATGATGGATGGTGGCAAGCAGTGGAATCCAGGACGCCCGTTCCGTTCTGTTTGGGACTCGTCAGCTGGATGTATCTGTATGTAATCTTGGATGCAGATACAATCCGTAGAGGATGCACATATGTCAACAAGAGACTGACCGATTGCAGTACGAAACATCGATGGCAAGATTCAAGCAAACAATGCTAAATGAAGTAACGTTAATAAGTTGTAACGATAGGTCAGAAGTGTGAAACGTCTTACATATTAACTTGATTTCTTACTTCCAGAAACCTGAGGTTGTCCTCCAAACTGTATGCGATCGGTCCTTAATCAAAGTGTTTCAGCTAGCTTCCTAACCAATGGACTAATTTGTAACAGGAAGAGTTACTCATGAAGACGTCTGGCTTCAGTAGTTTAACATATATAGACCCTCACATGAACAATAATCCACTCCAGTCGTATGTCGTTCTACCACTAGGGTTTCCTTTGAAGTAATATCTAAGGATTTTACTCCTGTTTTAGTGATGAAAATTCAATCACTGTCACAGTGTTAAGACATTGGCTTAAGAAATGGTTCGTAAATGTCATCTAGTCTTCTAGAATCATCATTATTTTCCGTAAAATCTTGAACTTACTAATCAATGAAACAACAGTTAAAAAACACTTTATATCTCCTCTTATATTCCATTCATGTAGATTACGTTGACAGTTTTTATAAAAATGTCATTAAACTTTCTTCATGCGAAGAAAGATGTGAAAACAGTTTCCAAGTTTTAGAGGACACACTTGACAAAAAATAACATTGAAAAGTGACATATTAACTTAAGTTCATTAATGAGATTGTCAACAAAATTTCACATAATTTCATTATTTTGAAAGTTGGATTTAATTTGGATTTATTTGCTGAAAAAACATGACACTATTTCCTAACTAATTGTAATTATCAGTATAAGGTCGTGGAGATTGTTGAGTTTTTATTGAGATTATTAAGCGATCTATGTTAGAGCACAAGTGAAAACCTGCAAGGACTGGACAACCGTTCCGTCATAGTACTCAACTTAACAGGGCGTCTCTACGATCTTTCACGCATGCTTTCTGCCTCGCGTGAGAACGCTCATCCTCCAAACCACCGGGCGGGCATCCAACAATGTTAATTTCTAATAGTGCAGTGTGAGACAGTTACTCACAGAATACAATGCAAGATAGTCACGCAACATCGTGTACGGTTTAAGTTAGGCGTTAATCCCGCGTGAGGGACCGTGGATACTCACTGATGAGGAGTCCCATTCTAGGACAAATGGCTGTACAGTGCTCACAAGTTTACGATTGTGATCTAACATCAATCGGTTAATGATGTTGTAAGTAATTGGACATTCACGTTTGAATATACATCTATGAATACATTAATCTTATGTTTTTGTTGAAATTAATCATGTTGTGCATGGAATATCTCTTTTTCAGATACTAAGATGCGAAACATATTATTGAATAAGTACAGTACGTAATTGTATGAGTGAGGAAAATGTACATTATTCTGTGATTTTGCCAAGCAATTTTTAAATTCGGGATTGTAAAACATTTTCTTGCTAATTGTAAAACTCTTTTCATACAACGTGGTAATTTCAGTCTTGATATTTTTTAAACATAGGCATTTACTATAACTTTTATAAATACTTGGACTTTAAATTATCCAAGTGCCACTGATGTATATAAACAAATGTGTACTGGAGGACCGTTTGAATTTATATTGAATATGTGTCCGGTTGAAAGACGTTGTTCATTCTTTACATATTAGGTCAACAGAATTGTGAATGGTATTGCAGCCCTTAATGTTACAAAAGTAGCTGTATATAAAATTTTTTCAGATGTGCGATTATCAACCTCGTTCTCTTTAAATTTGACATCTGAACGTAGGTTAGTTTAAACTGCTTAAATCCTACATTGGTCATTGATTGTTTTATATGCTACTGTAACTAGACTAGCGTTCCATAAATGTACACACTTACTTTCAGTGATCGAAAGTGGATTGTGTGAAATTATGAGATCTAGATAAGAATTATACTGGTAAATCGAGAAATGGATTTAGTTGAACAGCTCGAGCTGAATACTTACGTTTGACATGATTTTCATTGTAATTGTATGTGCTAAATATTCGTACTTTTGCTGAAAATTATTTATCACTTTACATTCACAAGGCAATAAATAGTAAAAAAATCTAATAATACACCGATTAAGACTACTTATGAGTCAGTAATCTTATGTTCGATTTTACCCATTTTTTACTTCAGAGCAATTCGTTTTTTCACATTTCAAATTATGTCAATAATTGAAGACCACCAAACCAGTACATTCATACAGAGCAAGAGGAAGCAGTAAAATGCAATGATGAATTCATGAAATCATCCATTTCATTTAGTTCTTGCTTCATTTAAATTTGTTAAGGGAACTGATGGGATAAAAATGTAAAACAATGTACAGTCATAATGAAAAAGAGAGAGTTAAAAAGAATTACTTCCCTCTAATCGGCATTTTCTAAACATCAAAATGATCATTTTTACTCTACTTAAACATAATGTACATAGATAAATATTAAAAGTTATCCTATTTCAAACATTAACAGAATGTTGCTATGAAATAACCGAGAAAGTGATAAACCAGTTGATGTGATAAAATAGTGATAGAAATTTACTCGTCTATGACCACATATACACGTCTTTAAAATGACGTGTATCACATGACATAGATGTTAGTATATGGTTGTAGAGATTTCTGAATTTCATTGAAATCATGAACTGAACAACGTTAGACCATCATTGAAAACGTGAAAGCAGTACACATAAAGCGATCTGTTGAGGAGTCCCATACTGGGGAGAAATGGCGATTCAGATTTTGAATGGTGGTATTACGTTGTTCAGTTCATGATTTAAGCGAAACATGATTTCAATGCTTTTAACGTAAATATATGCGTAGAAAGTTGAAACGGCGAATTATTTCATAGTGATTCTATCTCTAGATGATGTCTATATTAATTATTACAGTTTAAATAAGAGAGAACATTTGGTTCACACGTTTTTTGCAATCGACTGTATCGTTACTCTGTTGACGCCATACCAAAAAATAAATTTCTGTCCATCATTAGCATGACTTTTGTGCCTACTGATTCAATGGTTGAAGCATCCCATTACTCCTCTAATATGTACAAACAAACCATAAAATTAATGATTTTTGTTTATTTTTTTCAGTTATGTGAGAGTGGATTACGGCCCATCATGCCTCATCAATCAAGATTTTTATTGTGTAAGTCTACAAAATAGTAAGTGTTCTGTTGCACACTGTGTTCAGATAAAACTGTGTCGAGATTGTGTTCTTAAATAAAAATTGAAAATAAACATGCTTGATCCCTTATACAATTACAGTAAAATGCATTAAAACCAATTTTCGAGTTGTTTATGGCAACATAATGAATGCATTAAGTAGTTTCGACCAAAAAATTAAAAACTTCATGGAACATAGTTACACAAATTTTTGTCACAAACAACACAAAAAAATTAGTAACTAATTTAAGTATAGTTAGGAACAGATATACAAATCAAAGTTTACATTTCGAATCCAATCAAAATTAACACGGACTAGATTTCACTTTCAACGTGATTGTCTAAACATGCTCAGTAGCTTTAAAAGTGAGGATTTCCCACTACCCTTATTCTAAACGTCTGTCACAGAGTTAATCAGAGTCGACGTTCAGTCGAACACCAGAAGGTAAAGTGTTAATTAGTGTTGACAACTCCATTATTGTCAGTATCGTTCTCACTACTGATGGTTTGTTAGGCCGTTCGAAGTCCATGGTAGGCATTCGACTGCCAATCTGAAGATGAATATGGTAAACATCAGAATGAGCTCAGTTATTTTGCAGCCATGAAACACATGATGAAATTATGCAAAACTTACAAGGCGTATGAATTTGATGGTGATCACATTCTGAGATGATATGGTAAACACCAGTCATTCTTTGAATCCTAGTGTATTCGTTGTTTTGCTGATAACAAATGTAGTAACTAGAACTGTTATATATAATGATCGAGTCATTCGTCTTTATCTTGGTGAGATACACGTCATTGGAATATTTTAAGGTTTTCTGCCGAAATTCATAACGTAATTATTGGCATTTCCTAGAATTAGACAAGATATAAATAAAGTATCTTTGTAGTGAAAGTGTCAAGTAATAAGGTTACTTACAAATAAAAGCATACTTGACTTTTATGATAACGAAAACACTGAGTGATAGTGACACACTGTTAGTTTAGGTCACTTCTAGATTTCAAATTCAAATTGTTGGCATGACGTATGTATTCATGATCGATTATTTCACATTTTAATATCCACATTCATTTCCTGCCAATTTTCTGGAAAATGGATTTACTTATTCATTCACGAAATTCATGAAATTGTAACTTACCTACTGATCATCAATGGAAAAGACATAATTTATGTTAATCCTGACATTTGGCCTATTGATACGACGCTTAAACAGTAAGATAATTCTTCGAATACAACGGTGATATGTTGATGATATACGAAATCAATACAACAGCGTAATCAACTATTTTTCTGTTTTTCTTTATTTTTTTACACCATAAAAGTGTCATTCTTCTTTATTGTGTAGACGCAATTTAAACATACTCTTTATGTAATGGGAGATTGCAATGTGACAACAACAATAAACTACGCTTTCCCAACATTTGTTAATATCAGTGGGAGTACAAAGAATTTTACCGGCCAGTCTTTGGTATTGAGTCCAATACCACTTTTCCCAATATACACCAAAGTAAGCTATAATTGATTTAGAAATAATTTCAACTTCTTGTTATTACTCAAACCGTTTCTTATTTCTATTTGTTTTACACAGTTCCGATTTAGTTATGTTTTACGTAAAATTATTACATAATGCGAAGACAAATCTACAGATAATCCAATAAAATAGAATCTTAGTTTTCCAAGTTCATCAATGATAACTACAGGATAAGAAGCATTGGTTTTGAGAAGGGTTCTGTTTTGGGCGAATTCATTTTTAAAGCTGTACAACCGCAAACATTTACTTATTTTTCAAAGTGATCATAACTACAATAGTAGAGATAATAAAATTTTGCTGAACGTGGTAACAGTGAGGTAAAATAAACATGTTTTTTACTAAAGAAAAGTGATAATAATACGTTTGGTGAAACCTTGAATATTCATCATGAAGATAAATAAAGAAATTATAATTGGATAGGGAAAGCTCAGCATGATAAGATAAAATGCTGAAATTGAGATGAATTTTATTTAGTAGGATCATAGAAACAGAAAAAAATCAAGGGTTTGCAGTGAAGATAGAAGTGAAGTAGATGATCATGAAAGAAGGAACGAATAAAAAGTTACGAGAGATTAAGGTCATGGTACACACACATACACAGCAGATGTCTCTGCAATGCCAATACAACTGTCTCTGACAGCTTTCCATTTACCTTGTAAATAACTTTGGACACAGAGTCAATTTGCATTGAATGACCTGTGTTCACAAGGTGTTCAATTGTTGAGCTTCTTATTAAGCCATTCTCGCCTCTTTTCAGACAGTGTTCTTGAATTCGTTTGGATGAAATACTCATCGGACGACCAAAATACCTGGCTCCACATCAACAGGTAAATTGACAGACAGAAATGGAATTAGTCCAATGTGATAATTTATCTTTGTTACTGAACATTGGTCGGTTAGAGAACACTAGTCACAAAGTTATTGCGATGAATATTCTGCTGAGAGAGTCGAGAATTACCTTCTTTAGGATGCTTGTAGCTATATCACCTTTGAAATCGATCTTCATGTAAAGAGTTTTCTTTGGTAAGGAAGCAAGTTGCGCTTTGGGAGATTTGAGTTTTATATTCGTTTCAATAAATACCGATGGAGATCCGTTTTCTACAGTTATTCTCTTTAGATGGTTCATTTCGTTATCTATGAACTCGAGACAACAAATTCTTAATTTCTGTGTAGCAAGGTATTTGATTCAATATTGCTTTCGAATGATGTGGATCCAGGTGTGAAGGCTTTATTGCTGGTCATTCCATGAAGGTTTCTAGTAGATAGAACTTCTTACAGTTTCATCATGATTTACTGTCACTGTGACATGAAGAAAGTCAATACTTTGTTTATTTTGAACTCCTAGTGTGAAATTTATCGCTGTGTGGTAAAAATCAAATGTTTGCAGAAGATGATTAATCAAAGAATATTTGTTGATTCAAATCATAGAGACATCATTCACACATCTTTTATATTAGTGGGAGTTGCCATTAGTTGCTTTAAGTTCATTGTTTTCCAGATTGGACACAATCTGCTAGTAGTCGGTCAAGAGGGGATCCCATTCCTGTGCTATCTTTTAGTCTATAAATTACGTCGCTGAATGTAAAGTGTACATCACAAGTGCATCGTCATATTAATTCCTTTTAGTAAGATTTTTATAGCGCGATATTAATCCCATGATCATTTATCAAGCAAATAGTCTTTGTGAGTAGGAAATTGATGAATGCTAATTGAAGATCAAATAAAAGGATAAGTTGGTCATTTATATTCACTTATTGTATGTAATCAATAAATTCGGGAGTGTCATGTAGAGAATGTATACAAATATGTTTTCCTATGAGTTGCAGGTAATCTCTCAACCATTTTGCTATAGCGTAGTAATATGATCCGAACCAATGAAGAACTATTCGGAGGGGTAGTGCAGGTTTGAAAGTTTAAGCAAAACATATATTCATGATGTTGTCGAT